TGATGACATTGAAATTAAATTTGACTACATTAAAATTAAATTGAAAATTGCCTCAGTGTTGCTAAATATTACCTGGGATGGGTTTCTCTCTCTCTCTCTCTCTCTCTCTCTCTCTCTCTTTTTTTTTTTTTTTTTTTTTGGAAAACTTGGTGTGAAAAACAAATTGCACAAATCTAGCTTACTGGCAAGATTCCTGGAGGACTGGGCCCTTCAGGGAATGTCAGTTCTCCGGCTTTGTCTAATCCCTTTTTGTAGGTCTTGATTTCTGCAGAGTGACTGTGATACCAAGAACAAGTGCTCTTCCCAAATTATTTTGGAGTTTATCTCTGGAGGTGGAAAGAATCTTTTTTTTTTTTTCTTTCTTTTCCTTTTCATTTGCCTTTTGTAGTAGGACATACTGGCTTCTGCTTAGCCTCTTTTGTGGTCTACTTCTTTCTACTGCCTGTCTTTTTCTTTGAGGCATGAGGATGTTGATGCCAGCACTATGACGGCTGTATACCACAAACAACAAATTTTTGTAGAGAGGGAAGGTGTCAGTAGCAGTAGCTTTTTTTTCTTTTTCTTTTCCCCCCTACAGAGTGCAGAACCTTGCAGGGATTGTTACTCTCATGTTTGGGAGAGCTTTTGAAAGCAGGCTGGCAGGTTTCCCTTTTCACTCTGCAGGTTATGTAAGCCTCCTGTCCCTTTTGCAGGAGATAGGAGCAGTATTGATTTACTGCTCCAAGTGTCTGGGTGTGATTTATGACAATGAACATACTGCACAGTATTCCGGATGGTTTTTGATGTCCAATGCCAGACAAAATAAGTGGAAGTTATGCAGAGTTAGAGCATTTCATTGCACACCCTTCTTATTCATCCAAAATCTGTTCCTAGCACTTATTAAGGACTGGAAAATTGCAAACAGATACAAAAAATGTAGCATGATATCAGGATACTACCGTTATTAAAAATACAGAATAGGAAGTTTCATAGCCTTTTCTGCTTGATTCTTTGTGTGCTCTGCCTCACAGTTTTGTGTGGTGTTTCTGTTGAAGGACGTAGTACCACTTTTGTTTCCACCTTGGCTGTGTGTTCCCAGCGTTTTCCCTTCATTGGTGCATCTCTCTGACCAGAAGAAGTTGGACACCCTTTTTCCTGCTTAGAACTGTTTATTTTTATTTTTGCAATATTTCAGCTCAGATCATGAAAGGCTTGTGCTGGCCACAAGGGAGGGGGCAGAATGGGGACTGGAACAACTAGCTGAGGTGGAGGAGAGAGAAGGATTTATTTCTTCCTTTGCCTTTCTGGCAGTAATCCCAGTTTCTGCTGCATAGTGTTTGTAAAACTACAGCCTTGGAGCTCAATTCCTTTTCAGGGAAAGCTACGCTAATGTGAAAGAGTGGCAAGATGTTACTATTGCAAGTATGAGGTTTAGGCCTATGGGGACGGATTCTGAGGGGTACCACACATCCTTATCTAACAGGAGATGAGGGGTCTGAGACCTTTTGGTATTTGATATATATGGAGCATTTCTATCTGACTGACTTAAAGTTAGCACGATCAGAACTTTTTAGCACAGAAAGGGGAAGGAGGGGATAAACATTTGAAAACATCTTTAACTGATCTATCTCAGAAGCCCAAATCTATGTAGGCTGATACCTGAGCTTTTTCTTTTTGACTTTTTGCACCCATATCCCTCCATACCCAGTAGTGAATTGGTATTCAAAACCTTACTAATCATTATCCTCTGTGTGCCAAGACAGTAAATTAAAATCTAAGGGATTGTATTTTTTCCTCATCATTTTTAGTTTTAAGGCCGATGCTGACAAGAATATGTATGAACATGTGTATGTTCAGACTAAATATTTGCTGTGCACAGTATCACATTGTCTGGGAGCATCCCCCGACTCTTCCATTGTTTTAGGTGGAGCATAAGTGAAATTACCCTCCCTCCCCTCCCTTCCCCTCCCCAAAGTAGAGGAAAAACTTTGGATAAACCCCCAAAATACTTGTGTATTTTCTTTCTTTTTTCATCTGAGCTAACTGAAGTGTTGCAACCTACTCTTCCTCTGTAACAATTTGGGAGAGCTAGTTGAAAAGCAAGAACTTTGTTTTTGCGTATTTTCCAACCGCTGTTAATATTTACTCCGTTACTGTCTTCCTACTGGCAACGGCCCCTTCCCCAGCTGCCCCTCCGATCCAGAGTTCTTTCCTTGATGTACCTTTTAGCTTATCTGATACCTAATATAAAGGCCCTGAAGGTACTGTCTGTGTCTTCTAATTGCACACACAACTTCATCTGGAATTATAACGCTGAAATTGCATTTCATGTGTAACTGGTATTATGAAGTGAAACATATTATAGTCTTACAAGAAAATCTCGGTGAAAAGACTTCTAAAAGGCTGTCTAACAACTGCAATATCAAATCTGTGATCTTATATCAATAAATGTCTGTTTTGTTTGTGTACTCATCCCGTCAAATGATAAGTCCTAGGATATTTAAAAAATGAGAATTCTAAAGAAATCTCATGGCAGTGCAGCATAATTAAAAACTTAAATTCAAAAGTGTCGTGCACCTAAGTCTTGGGACAACATAATGTACCCTATCAGTTCATACCTTACAAAACGCACAAGATTAAAACCTGCCAGATGTCATGAGAAGTGTTTGTCATATCCATAGCTATATGTTAGAAAAAATATTATTTAACTATAACACTGAATTACTGACAGATTCAAGTAACTGAAGAAACCATGCTATGGGGAGGCATAAAATCAAAAGTAAAATGAATGTCACAGGGACCAAAGATTAATATTAATCATTGCAGATAACCAAAGAGGTATCAACAAGTTCTTTATGATGTGTAAGTTGAGAAATACAAAGAGAAAATAGTTGTTATAAGACTATTTAGAAGCATTCTTTCAGTTTCCAGGGACAAAATTAGAAGTGCCAGAAGGTTCAACTTTTAGCTCTGCTTGTCCACTTTCTATGAGGACCAGATTTCAGAGGGTCATTTTAATCAAAATGAAAGACACATCCTATTAGGACAGCTTTGCTGACAAATAATTAAGATGAATTACTAGCATACACTTGTCCCAGCTGCCTTATTGATGTCAGTTTGGAGTAGGCATGGGAGGGCTTACAGTATATGCTTTGCTCTTTAAAACAATTTACAGTCAAATATAGCCATTCTAACTATGAGAAGAGCTTAATCCTAGACCTGTCACTGCACATTATTTTCACAGATTCTTGACAATTCTGTATTAAAATAGTTTGTAAGTAAAAGTTAAGAGGATCTATAACTGAGGAATTAATATGTCATTGTGTGAAATGATCAACTATTTTTCTTAGAGCAGCCACGTTTCCTTGGTTTAGAAGAGGCGCTGACATTAATAAGTAATACTTAGACATTGGGTTTCCTGATAGGTTTTTATAATACTTATCCATAAGTACTTCTGAGAGCAAGTATTTTTTGGACAACAGCGAGTGGAACTTCCATCTTACCTAAACAGTGTGTACGTTTTGATGTTTAGTGACTATGCATGTTGTTTTGCTCTCCCTGCCCCCATCCAAATTTATGTAGACATTTTTTCCCTGAAGGTACTGAATCTCATATTGTAATTAACAGTGGAAGCTGGAATCTTTGACATGAGTCAGATGACAAGTTTGTCGCATTCAAATATGATGGGCATAATGCTATGCCTGAGTAAAGAACTCATTGCTTTTCCATTTAGGTACAGTTTGGGGGGGGGGGGGGGGGAGAAGCCATTGTATTTACCTTGCTAAGTGTCTGGTGTTTTAACTAGTTTACTTTTCCTCTGTACCTTTGATCTTATTCATACCTTCAAACTTATGAGTAGGTATTGGAAAGCCTTTAGAAAAAGGCTTCAGATTAGTACATATGTCTTTTTGTACTGAAAATAATACAGAAAAGAGTAGTTATTTCATTTAAGTTTGAAGTACATAGCCATCAAAATTGGCCGTGTGAAATCTTTCCTCTGGAAGACCTGGAAAAAATGAAAGGTCTGTAAAATCCAAAGAATTAGAGTTGCTAAAAGCATATGTGACAACAGGATAGCAAGCATTTCAGAAAATATCAGAGATGAGTTTCCGGGAGTACGTGAAGGAAAGATACTCTGTGTGGGAGGCAGGCTATACAGTGCCGTCATCTGTATCCTTCGTTTTGCATCCGTAAGATGTCTTTTGCGTTATTATCCCACAGTCTGTCTGTTAACCTGTTGGAAGTAGTGCTGCAGCCCTTGGTATTAATGCTCATTGATTTTTTGCTCTTAGCTTTCATAGCCAGGTTGTGAGCGCCCAGCTCCCAAGGACACGGTGATGTTGCTTGGACTGGAAGAGGGGGCTTAGGGTTTACCGTGGATATTAACAGTTCTGTGGAGACATGTCTGCAGGTCGGGGTGAAGGGAAAGATTTGAAAGGCTAGGACCCTCCCTTGGAGCACGCCGCATGTGTCTTTCATCCTTCTGCAATAAAGTTGGGGTGTATGTCTGTTTTATTTCCCTTCTAAATAAAAAAAGGAAAGCAGTCTGTCAGGAACAGCTCAGCTGCTTTTGATAACTTCAACATTATGCTAATCATAACTCTGGCACGGTGTTTCTCCATCTGCATGGAAGAAAGAGGATGGGAGTGGGTGGTGATGGTAACAATAACACTAATGCTACAACATTCACCATAAGCGAACTTTCGTTGACATACGTTGTTGTTGTGATTAATTGGCACCCTCCATGGTGCGGTGTGGTTACATGTATCCTGATTCAAGAAATGAAATGAATGACACTAACTCACAGCCAATATTTGCCCTGCCGTTTCCTACCTGCGTAGCCTGGGGCCTGAGCCCCTCTCACCCATTACTTTTGTGCTCTCTGGGTCTTTGATGGATTTGTTCTTAGAACATTTATTCCTCTAGGGGGCAAACTTTGGTCTTCCCTAGAAATGCGCTGGGGACCATGTTTCTCAAACAGCAGCTTTTAGCTTCTGTTTTGTGGCCTGTTTCCTTTACAGTTGGTGCTCCTAAATCTTGTTGCTGCGTTGATGATCGCCTTTGAAGAAGATGAAGTCCACCAGCAGATGGGAGAAAGCAACACACAGGGTAATAAATTCTGTTACATTGTCTTATTTCATGGCAAACAGAACTTGACTGTTTCATGCCCCCTTATTCATGGAGCCTCAACACAGGAGCTTTCCTCAGTTACGAGGAAAATATACTCTAGACAAAGGAGATGATGGAGGAGGCATTCAGCGTGGTATGATAATGATGCTCGTTCTCTGGTTGGGATGGAATGGAACACAAAGACAGACACTCGATGATGTGAAAGGCTATGTATGAAGTGCTATTATTGTCATGATGATGACTGAATGCATGTTGAAATTACCTTTACAGGAATAGCAACAGATGGTCTCTGTATCTTCCCCTCCTACTCATCCAAAGCTCTTAAGGCTGCATTCCTAATCAACCAAACGCAAGCATCCCACACCCATGCCGAGAAGAATAACCTGAGCATGCAAACTCTGCTTTGAAATAAGTGTTAAAAATACATGACCTATATTGTCTGGTAACGAGGCATTGAAAATATAATGATTAACTCAGTTACAGTTCTGTCCATCTACCCTTATGCTATGTTACTCAAATTCCTATACTACTAACAAAATTCTCATTGAATGCTAATGATGATAATCATAGTACTTAACTCTGTGTATTACTGTCAGTAATTACACACACACATCCTTAAGTTGGAATCTTTATTAAAAACACATTTCATTTTATGGACTTCAGTTATTAAATGTCAAGTGAAAATAAATTAGGCTATAGCAGACATTGCAGCTATAGTTACTGCTTCTTCCATTATTGCAAGTTATTATAAGCTTGTATGATTGAAACTGCTATAGATAAGCATGCAATAATATTTTCACTGTCACCATGATCACTGACTGAGATAAGAGCTTGATGTTCTATTTTTGTTCAGGTTAGAGAAAAACAAGGAGGGGAAAATGGAGGGGAAAGGGCTTCATGTCTTGCAATGATATGCACACAAAAAAAAAAAGTAAGCCTAAAGCAGGCCCACACATACGTCAACGATGACACACAGGGCTGAGAGGATTTAGTGTTAAAGGGACGTCTGTTAATTTTATTTGCAACAGAGAGGAGAGAGCATGCACATTCAAGATACTTGTTGTATCATTTTTAAATCAAGGCCATCTTTTTCTCAGTGGTAAACGTGAAATGTTTTTAAAGGCCAGACTTAGCATAAAAATCTATTGGTTGCTATGGAGACCACTTACCACACAGGACTGCACTCTGTGTTCGACTCTGATTTTTCTCTATTCAAAGGTTCAGCATTGTCAAAAAAACAAATTAGTTTTTCACTTGTTTGTCACAAAGTTCATTATGAAAAAAGTAATAAATAATAAGATATTTTATTCCTATGTGGATAGGTGCCATAAGTAAATTAACCTGGGCACTATGCCTTAAATACACTATTTTAAAATAATTATAGCAAAATTGGCTATTGTTGGGAAATAAAACAGATTTTGATCTTTCTGTGTATATGAATATGAAGCAAAGCAGGTAGTTGGAAGTCTGATCCCAACAAAATTACATGGTAATAAGACTTTTCACACCTACACAGCACTTAGTAACAAAGCTCTGAAAGAGAAGGGAAGATTTAGCCCTGTTAGACTAAAACTTTGTACCTGAGGCGCATTACTTCTCTCTTTGTGAAAAAGGTGGGTTCAGGACCCAGTGCTCACTGAATTATTCATGCTCTCTTTTGCATCTCAGATCTCTAGGGTTGAAAATAGTAGGGACTGTTATTAGCAGAAGCACAAATCTAACTGGGATACAGCAGTTCAGTGAAAACCTGTTCAGCTGCTTCTTAGTGTTTGCCTAATTACAGCAAATACTTTCTGCCAAACTGCCTAGCACACCCACCCCACAGAGAAGTCATCCAGGGAGAAGGTGGAAAAAAAGTGTTTCCTCTGGAGTTTATGTGAAGCTGAGGCTAGTCAATGCCTCCCAAGATCTGGATGAGAGAGAGCGACAATTTATAGAAGTAGCAAGGGAACCCCTTAACATTACCTAAAGGTATTTCAAAGATAAATTGATGTCAGCAAGTTCTTTCTCACTTTTTTTTTTTTTAATAACACTTTAGCCTAATTTCTAATTACTTGAGGAATGTATGAATACATTACTTTCAGCACTTGACGATTTCCTCCTATCGCCTCCCGGGTTCTAGTGAGTCAAATTTTGAGTTGCTGTAAATGCTCCAGTTTCACTGACTTCAGAGTCATTGTGATGCTACTTTGGATGTGTGGTCTTACTTCCATTTCAGACCAGTGATAGGACTCTAATACAAGACAGTAATAGCAGGTCTCAGCTTAGTCTGGGATTTCTGTGTGGAATATGTGTGTTAACCAATTCCTTTTTTTTAATGAAGTCGGTAGTTTTTGTGTAATGTAGCGTTTCTTTAGCATTTTTGTATGACCACTAGATAAATGAAAGGATATTGGAGACAGTGATTTATGGTGGTCATTTTTAGAAACTCTGAGTCTGCAGGTAACACGCTAAACTTTGCTTATCTGTAAACCTAATTTGTTGCCAAACATTTGTATGTACATGTTATTTAGAAGATTTCACTTTCATAGTCAAATTGCTCTTCTACTAGATACCAACTGTACAGTGTCAGGCCCTGATAATTAACATGTTGCAAACATGCAATTAAGACAAATCAGATTGAAATACGTAAGAAAAATGAAAGCATAATGTAATTCCAGCTATTGTCAGTCTTCTCAAGATTTATTATGCAGTTGGCCTCCTCCTATGCAGCTCTGTATGTTTTAGCAGGGTGTGCACTGTTTCGCACTGCATACAAAGTAACTCAAAAAGAAATGAGTTTTTAAAAAAGAACACTTCAGTTTAAACAAGCCAGTGGGAGCTACTTAGGCAAAACTAACTGGTGATGCAATATTTATAGTAACAGGCAATGGAAATCTGACTCAAAATAGTGCAGAAAAAGCCTCCACTGAAAGTGTCCTATTATTAGTAGTAATAGAATACTACTTTTCCCCCTCAGAGTAAGCTTTTCATTTTTCTTTGTACTGGGATTGTTGCCTGAGCTCTCCTCTTAACATCTTGCTTGTGTTTTTCATTGGTTCCCTCTGGCTCTTCCAGATAACTCAGGGAGGACTTGCTTTTCTTCTGTGTTCTGCCAGAGGTCATTAGGGTGCCATAGGCTGTTAATAAAGCAGAATTTTTCACCTACCATATAGAATGGCATTGTCATTAGTCAAAAGTAAGGATGCTAGGAAGCTCTCCCTATCTGCTTTAGTATTCCCCTTCTACCTCTAAAGCAACATGACAAGGGACAAAATACAATACATCATTGTTTCTAAAACTACTTTTTCAAGTGAATGAAACCTTCCTCAAAGGCACTATATGTACAGCATGAAGGAAGTAATCCCCTCTGCTCACAGAATAGGGAGAGACCATTCAAGGCTAGAAATAGACTAACCTATTAAAATTACTTGAATCAGATATAAAGCAGAACAGAATTTTTTCAGTTTATATCTGGGATACTATCAAAACTTTTACAGAAATATTCGTGGAGAGTAATTTGCTTCTTGACTGCTTTCTGAAGTTCCCAATCTCTGTGCTTAAACTCAGAGATCTCTGAAAAAAAGTGTGGACTTAGGCTAATACCGTTAGCTGTACTCTCAGAGCTGCTAGATGTTGCAGTATCCTTGAGACTCTATAGTCAGCCCTGTATCTTTGTGCTGCAATACAGACATTTTAATTGCTAAATATTTCCAATGAAAATTGCATATAGGCATGTTTGACCCAATATTGAGCAAAGAAAGCATGGGAATTACTCGTATAGTGTATCATCCATCTGGAAAAGACGATGTGCATATAATAAAAATGCCCTAAGCCACCACAGGTAAATCCTCACTGGATAACCAGTTTCCTGCATGGGATTCTTCTTCCAAAAAGGTGTGATTCTACTTCCCTTTCTTGGCCCCTCTTATTGATCTTGTGTTCACTGGATTTGGAAGATGCTGTTTGTAGTCAGCTTCTTAAGGACTCTGCATGTGTTTTTTTTAAGAATACAAAGCTAGTTGGGAAAATTACTAATCTGAGTAACAACAAGCATAGATCTCAGCCTGTTTTTAGCCTACCTGTGACGTTTCTGTGTATTCTTACCTTCAGGGCTTTCATGTCCCTGGTTACGTCAAACAGTGTTTATTCTAATTACAACCCCCAAAACTATGTGGAAAAGGCTGACTGCTCCTCTTCTATGAAGAACCTGGCTTGTGTGAGTTAATAGGGAGTAGTGGTAAACTACTACTACATTAACAAATTGACTAGAAGATGAAAAAAGTGGTATTAGAAAGGGGAGAGGTTGAAATAACCAAAGCTGATTTTGTGAGACTTTTGTTAGGTTTTTATTATTTTGAGTTGGCTTCTGTACCTGAATTTATATCCAGACTGCCCTTGGGAACTGCATTTCAGGTATCAAATATCACTGGCAACCTTTTTAAGATTAGTTTGTGGAGTAGGTAGGAAAAGAGCCAAAGCTGAATGGCGATGGGAAAGGAACTGAGAAAAGCAGGCAAGTGGCCAACGGTAATTTATTATGTACACAAACCTGATTGTCTATACTTGCAATGCCTCTTGCAGTGTTGAATGTTTTCTGTTTAGTCACTCTTTCACTCCTCTTTTTTGCCCCTATCCTTTGTGGTTTGCTGGAGGAGTTCTCTCCCCAAACGACAGACTGGGATACAGAAATCCCTGTTAATGTCTCCACTGAGGCTTGTAGCAGGATGGGTAATCTCACTTGTTGGAGACTGAGTGAGATACTGTCTAGCCCAGTTTAAAAGTGGGAAGCTCTTTTTACCTTTTTGCTTTTACTATTGTGTACACTTCTTATCCACAACATTTTAAGGTACTCTCTGCATCTTTGCAAAGCTGTTAGTTTTCATCCTAGACTTCCTGTGCAAGAAAATCTTTCAGACACCTTAGGAATCAAACATGCTGCATGTGCAAAACCTCCCTGCGTCTAGTGGCTTCTGTTCCTGTGGAACAAAGGTCTGATT